TCCTGTGCACCCAAGGCTCTACACTCAACATTCCTAATGCAAGTAATCATCAAGTCAGTGAAATCTCAGCTGGAGATCACTTGCCACTCCCCAAGGAAGGCTCTATTTAAATAGCAGGACATTGCCCCTGTGACTTTACAGCCCTTTATCACTCAGCCTCATAAAACCACAGGTGTGTTGGGGTGCTCTATAAAAACAGGTGCTTGGTGTGCCTCAGTCACACTTAACCCAGTGTGTCTGAATATGACTACTATTTACTCCGCGGCTCCACAGAATCTTCTGTGAGAAGCTGGCATGAAAAGAGAAGCTGGGGGGTGCAGAAGAAGCAGGAAGTAGGGCCTCACTTCCCTGGTATTTGTTACCTTGTGCATGGCCTGGGGGAGGGTCCACAGGGCTCACCTGTCCCAGGTGTCCTCCTCAATTTCTCTTCCAGTCTCCCAGGAGGATGTGTGGCCGACCTGCTGGCACTTTTACCCTTTCTATCTGCTCTGCAATGATAGGACCTGCCTGCTGAAATCTTACTTATTAACTTTACATAGATATGGCAGGCTGCGATTACAGGAGAATTGTTTGGGAGTGTTGTATCTCGCTTCTTCCCACGTACCTTACCCTGGGAATTGCTTTGTACTTGCACACTGCCATGTGGTGGTGTGTGTTTAATAACCATCAATAAAGATAGGCCTGGGAAAACGTGGACAGACACAGATTCCCCTAAAATAAAGAAGCCAGAAGGGTGCCTGCTGGCTACCCATAGCTGATCAAAAAGGTGTGGTCAAAAGTAAACCTTTGACTAAGGAGCTAAAAGTTTGAAGAGTATGCTCGACCTGAGGATTCCTTGACCATGCATACAACTCATCTCCTTAAGTCCAAATTCATCCAGTATTCATTATCCAGAGACTAGGGTGCCTACCCCGCAGCAGGGACTTCTCACAAAGCTTGTTTATTAGAGAATCAAGAAAGATGAAGAAACCGAGCAGTGGTGGTACACCCCTTTAACCCCGGCACTAGGAAGGCAGAGGCAGGTGAATCGCTGTGACTTTAAGGCCAGACTGGTCTACAGAGTGAGTTCCAGGACAAACAGGGATACACAGAGAAACACTCTCTCAAAACACACACAAAACAGAAGGGAGAGAAAGGAAAGAAGGAAGAAAGGAAAACAGAGAGAAATGAAGAGTGTGAGATATGGCTTAGGATACAGTTCAACAGTAGAATGCTTGCCTAGCATACACAAAGGTCTTGGTTCCAATCACTGGCACCACAAAAAGCAATTAAGTAAATAAATAATAAAATAAATGTCCGGTAAGAAAATAGAGGGGACATTTTTGAAATAGAAACCCGGAGCATCACCATGCCACACCCATGAATAACATTTGGGCAGTGAACAGAGGTGGAAGTAGCTGTCAAGGAGGTGGCGCGTAGCTCCAAAACACTTGTTGAGCAGAATTAAGCAACTAATTGGAAATGGAAAAAATCTAACCCTCACTGCATTATCCAAGCACAGTCAACACGATTTATTTGACACAAAGCAAACGAACAGGGACAATACCCTTCCACCAAGGTGACAAACCATCTCAGACACCAAGTCTGTGACTGTCCAGTGGCAAGACTTCAAGAGCAGGTAACAAGGGTACAGCTCATCCAGGTTCTCACTTGAACTGGAGTATTTGCTCCCCCCCCCCCCCGGGCAACTGTGGGAGCCTGTTGAGCTTAAGGCCCGCCTGGATATTTGTATGAGACACACATTGCCTGGCAACCTCCTCCAGGAGCCAGCAACATACTTGATCAAGAGGCCTTCTGTGAGATCAGGCCAGCCTGGCAGGCAGCAGCATGTTTCCAGAGAGCTCACTTTCCATGGGCCCTCTAGGATTGCAGCCAAGCCTGGCCTAGAGCAGTTCAGCCCCACAAAAGGAAGAACCGTTCCCACTTCACCTAACAGCCACATATTGAGTAAGGCTACAGAGGTTCAAACTAGACTCCACCATGCCCACAGAAGTGGAGGGACGACAGAGATTAAAGTTTGGCCCTGCCTCTCCCTTTGTTCGGAGCCACCCCACCTCCTTTTGGGGACTTCTTACCCTAAGATTAACCCCAGAGCAGGGTACAGTCTCTTCCCCCATTCCCTGTCACCGTGAAAAACCTTTTCCATTCTATGAGATTTGATCTAGGTCTATAATTGTACATACCACACAGAACAGAATGATTAACCACTAAGAAATGGCACAAGTTCCAGAATTCTTCAAGGGACCTCAATGACAAAGCTGAGGTCACTTTCTGAGGTCTTCTGAGGAAGACTGTAGAAGAAACCCATGGCAGCTTTTTGGGCTGTTCTCTAAGCTCAGCATCCCAAAGGAAATCATATGGTTAACACACAAGCATGTCTTTCAATCAGTTGGGAAACTCATTATTTGTCTTGCCAGTCCCTCTGATAGATGTAATAATTGGCCCGAAGTTCAAGCGAGGTGCCTGTGTTCTAACCCCTTCATGGCATTCCTAATGTCATGTTTTCTGCTCTTGAGATGAAAAGTTAGCAGCTGAGGAGTCAGGAGGCATATCTAGTCTCTCCTAGTTTTCCTTTTGGAGCAAAACAGATTAGCCATAAGAGAGAAGGGCGTGTGGCTTGGTTTAGCTTGGATGACTGGGAGGGGGCAGGCTGCCTGTTCTAGTGGCCCCTACAAAGCTTTCCTGTCTCCTGGAACTGGGAAGTTAGGATTCTTTCCCTTCCAGAGAATACAGGATGGTGAGCAAATCTGGGCAAGTCACAGTACAGGAAACTCAGAGAAATGCTTGTTAAAGGAGCCACACTTCCAGGCTACCCAGGATACTCATCTGCAGGGCCTCTTCTTCCTCAATTGGAAAAATCCATCCTTGGGATAATAGAGACAAGGGTGTGAGACAGTGGGGAGAGTTTCTAGATGGGCAGGAGGAGTGCCTGAGCCTTGTCTAGGTTTTGCTACTCCTTCTCGAGGAAAGCAACCACACTTGTGCAAGCCTTTTCCTCCAGGCCTCAGTTTCCTCTCCATTGCATGAGGGAAGAATCTCCACTGTTGCCCCCAGCCCATGCCTTCCTGTAATCTGAGATAACTGGAGGGTGGAGGAGAGTGTTATGCCCAGATCTGCAAAGTCCCCCCAAACCAACAAGGAGACCAGAGTCCTGTATGTAAAAAGCAAAGAGCCTTTACTTTATGCAAGTTTGCAAATTCGGTCACTCCATGTGTCCAACATATTGGAATAATGGGAGAGCCCTGAGTTCAGTTAGAGTTGGGTTTTTATAGTAGTAAAGGTGGGGCTGAGGAATTTCTAAGGTTCAGGACCCCTCATTGGCTGACATTTGCCTAGGGGCGTCCTGGTGAGTGTGTGCTGGCAGGTGATCCTATCTACCAAGGTTGGAACATTAGGCATTTCCTTTGGAGGGTCTGTTCTTAGATGGTGCTCAGGTAATCTCAGTTTATGGTTCTTCCTGCAACCAGGCATTGCTTCAGGGTAAACTACTGAGACTCAGGCCTCCATTAAACTTATCGATGGCTGAGTCCTACTCTGGCAGGTGATAATGGTTGGAAGTAAAGAACTTCCTTTGGGGGGGTCTGTTTCTCGTGGCTGTCTCCTACAGATAGAGGAGAAGAGTGAAAATATATTGTATGTATTCATCTGTTTCACACACACACACACACACACACACTGATGCGGTACAGGGGATTGAACACAGGGCCTCATGTATGCTAGGCAAGGCCTGGTAACACCAAGCTGTTATCCCCAGCCCTTGACTTTTTGAGACAGGAGTTACTAAGGCTGGCCTTGAACTCTGTAGCTCAGGCAGGTCTTGACCTTGTCATCTTTCAGCCCCAGGGGGATTCACAGACCTACACCACCAGGCCTCATTTACATCATTTTCAGTCTTGAATTTTTACTCAATTGATTTTTCTGGGCAGCTATATTTATTTCGGTTTCGGTTTTTAGAGAGATTTGGTCTGATGTCACCATTTGAGTGGCTTATTTGCAAGCCAAATAATTGCACACCCTGGGATTTTAGGGCCCCAGATTCACCCCCACATTCTTAAGCCTTGGGCCTGTCCTTGCATGCCGCCTCAGCCAGTAGCCCAGCTGGAACCTTTCATGTCCTGTGTCCTGAGGTAGCATCCCAAGGTATCTGGGAATGCCCTCCTCACCCCTGAACCTGCAGGTTTACCTCACAGAGGCTTGACTCTGAGGCCAGTCTATTGGCTAGAAACACACTTAGGGCCTCCCCCCGTACCACTGTGGCCCAGCCAAGTGGGAGAGTTGAGCAGACCATAGGCACCCCACCCCCATCCTCCTGAGAAGGGCCTTCTTGGCAGCCATCCTCCTTCAGAGCCCATTAGGGAAGTGCACATTCCCTTGGTCTCACTGGCTCCAGTGAGTGTTCGGGGGGGCGGGGGTGGGGGGAGCATTACAGGCTATTAGCCAATGTTGAAAGCCTGTTTTCCACCCCGCCCCCCACCACCCGACTTCTCCTAGTACCGGCTGGGCTTGGCCAGGCATCAAGCAGGCATTTTGTTCAGAAGTGGCAACTTATTTTTATCAAAGATGGAATGCAGCCTTGCAGTTGTTTCCAATGCCTTTGCATGGCAACCAAACGTTTGTTCCAAGCATTCCCGAACCCTCTTTCCCCTTTCTCCATCCAAACCCTGGGCAGGGAGCCGCTTAAGAAGACAAAGTTGCAAGAAATTAAAACTCGTTATTAATGTCCCTACTTTAAAATGCAGTCTCTAGCTGCTGACTGGGAACTCTGTAAATCCTGCCCTAAAGCAAAGTGAGGACCACAGCACTGAGGTAGTGGGAAGAGCCTGGGCGATGCCTCTTCCCCCCCACCCCACCCCAGGTCTCCAATACTGTACATCCTCTAGTTAGTCCCTTCCCTCTCTGGAGGTTAGGGTACCCACTTAGGAGACACAGGTTGCCTAAACTTTTCTGGCCACAGAATCTTTGGAACGGATAAAAACCATGGACCCTTCTTGGGCGAGAAAGTTCATTTGGGAATTATTTATTAGACACCTGCTAGATAGACAGGGGCATATAAAGGAACAGGTTCAAATTCCTTTTTGGGGGACTGTCCAGGTTATGAGAAGTTCTGCTTGGGACTTCTGTGATGAGCTTGAAGGCTCTTATCTGAGAAGACAGTGATGATGATTCCCGGAAAGGATCCTGACATCACCAGCCAGCCAAACACCTGCAGCCAGAGCAGAAAAGTGGCCACAGAGAAAGTAATCTCCGGCTTCCTTCCAGCCCCGGTGTGGTGTGGTGTCGCCAGGAGGCACCCACAGACAAACATGCAGGCACAGGACGCTTGGAATGTCGACAGTGTCTCCGGACACACTCCCAGCTGCATGGAACCGGCTGCCGCCCTGGGGGAAAGGCAAACAAGTCTCTTCCCTTTTGGGCTTCATTTTTCTCACGGAGTCTGAAAGGGCTCTGATCAGGTGATATGTGTGCGGCTGCTCCCAGTACAGGTGCAGGGCAGGTACGAGGGGAGGAGAGAGCCCCGCCCCGTGTGTACTTACTTAAAGCTCTTTCAATAGCCCTAGCAGGATAGCTCTTGGCAAGGCAGCAACCCAGTCTCTGGCAGGCTGCGGGGAATCCGAGTGTGAGAAAGTCAGTCATGCGAAGGAAAAGGGGAAGGAAAAAAAAAACCCTTTGAGTCCTCAGGCAAAATACCACCACCACCCCCCTTTCCCTAGCTCTAAAACAAACCCACAGAACATTCCCAAAACCTAGGGGAAAAGGGGGGCTCTCTCCTTGGCTGCTGACATTTGTTTTATGCTTTAAAAGCAAACAGGTGAGAGAAGTCAGCGCTCATGGGTGATGGGTTGCACAGGCAGGCAACGGAGCAGCCCCTGGTTGTGATTACTGGACATGATGCATGCAGTATGCAAGATTCTGCTTTCCGGCCATCACACAGGGAGCAAAAAGACCTCCGCTCCAAACACTGCACTCTGTGTTCCTCCTGTTTTGGGAGTAGAAAAGAGTATGGGGGGGGGGGTGTTCCTAGGAACCTTTCAAGTTCAAAGAAATCTTTCGGGATTTTGAGTTTGCAGCCTCCGTGGGAGGGCGGACAGCACCGATCTGACATACCTTCACTGGCCAGGATAAGAGAGTAAAAACTCATCCATGAGTTTATCATTTGCAAAGCAGCCCTGGTTCTTGACACTTAGCAGAGTTAAGGGTCGGGGCCTTCATGACTTTGGGAGGGGGCAGTGCACAGGCACAAATATATACATAATTTTTGGTGACATGGGCCTTCTGTCCCTCTGTCTAAGTATGTATGTGAAGTCAGTCGCTTATTCCACCAGAGCAAATACTCCTAAAGTGACAATAAAGGGAGTGTGATTGACTGCTGGCGGCTCCACTGGGAGACCCTGACTTGTTCATCCTCCACGTACCTGTCAGGTGCCTCAGAGGCAATAGAACAGACATGAACTATTAGGAAATACAATTGCCTGCCAGCTCAGCACATTCGGGCTCAAGAGCAGGCAGCAGCCAAAGTCATCACAGACCTTTCTGCAGGAGGCACTGGATCTAAAAAGTCTTGGTAGAAACCTGCATAGGGTTAAAATGCTCCCTCAGGAAGCTCTGACTCCCAGGAGATCCTGGGACAATGTATTTGTGGTTTTGTTGTTGAGGATTTTTTTTTTAAGTCAGAGACTTAGTAGGAGCTTTTTAAGAAGCTTGTGAAGTTTGCTGGGGTCACAGCAGAAAGGAGGACAACTCCACAGGTTTGTCGCCTTTCACCAAGAGGATTTCAAAAACACAGGAAAACCCCACTGTTTAAGAGACAACCGGCAATTTTCTGTCCTCACTGCTCTCCTATCTGCTTAGAATAGGAAAGGAGAGTACCACCACAGTGGTCCAGGTTGCAGAACAACAAAGAAGACATTGTTTATTATTTCTTCCGAACAAGATGGGGCACAGCCCACTCTCCAGCACGGACATACGCATGGACACACACACACACACACACACACACACACACACACACACACGACACCACCCCAAGGGGCAAGAGAACAAGTGGTGAATAAGGCAAGTCTGCCTGGGGGTAAAGGTATGTCTGCAAACGGGGGTGGGGGAGGCATCCTGGAAGGCAAAAAAAACAAAAACAAAACAAAACAAAAACTTAGAAAATAGAATGAATGATCAGAACCCTGTGAGATGACAGGACACTAAACCCAGGACAAACTCAGGTCAGTGGGGTGTGGGTTAGTGGCCAGGTGACCCGGGTCAAGCAGGAAGCATGTTGACCTACATACGTCACTTAGGAGCCTACTGGTCTGATCTCCAAGTCCTGCAGTCCACTCTGGACACTAGTCAGGGTCACCTTTCGAAGGAGCACCCAGGTGTCTTTCCCCCACTAGGAACCTACTAAGGTATCTGGAGTCCTTTATAAAGCAGGATGTCTAAGGGTCTTGTGGGCGGGGGGCTCCCATTTCTTCCTTGCCCCTGCACACACCCAGCGTGCCCTCAGAATAAAGACCTGAGGCCCCAGCATCTGTGCCTTAGAGACTATGGGTACTCCCTTCCTCCCCAGCCCCATGACTCAGCATATTCGCCTTAGCCATATTTTTCTAAGGTGCAAAGCACAGATCCTCTCCACCAACTACTTTACCATAACAGCTTAACGTATGACTAATTCCTCTGGATATTCTCTGCAGCATTTGACTTGTCTACTGCCTCTCTTAAAGGCTGTCCCAGGGGAGTCTATAGACGGCAGCCATACCCACGCAGGTATCTGGCAGCGGGCTTTCTAGGGACACTGTGTCTTGTTCCACACCCGGTGCAATTGTGGCTTCATACCGTGAAGGCTCTCCTCCGGATGCCCCCCTTCCCTCAGAACATCATCTAAGCCGCAAGAGAAAGAGCAAACACAGGCATTGGTCAAAAAGTAGGGCTCTGTGAGCCTCCGCAGTTGGTTGACTACTGCTAGGGAGCGGCCACTGTATCTCTCTCATCGTGGTAATCCCCGGGTTTAACAGTGTCTGGCGTTCCATCGTAAAAGAGAGGTGGGCATGCCCAAGGTCAGGCAGTCAACGAACCACTTCGTCTCAACCCGGACCAGACCTGGAGAAATCATTCACATTATCTCAGTGGGGGTTCGGGGTGGGGGTGGGGGAGGGAGGAACGAGTGTGTGCGCCTTGTGTGCCAGGCCTCCGGGACGCGGGAAAAGCTGGGGGCGGGGATCAAACAACGCGCTGGGATCGCGAGCTGCCCCGAGTTCAGGGCGGCGGGAAATCTAAAGGGGTTGGGGACACCGGGGTGGAGGCAAGGGGCGGACGACCAGGGGCAGGCAAGGAGGGGAGGCAGGCAGCCGCCGGGGGCAGCGCGCGTCGCCCGCGCCGTGCGGCAAATCCCCCAGGGAGGCCGCCGCCAGAGCCCTGGCGCTCCCGGCCCGGCGCCCGCCACGTGGCACCCGGCGGCGGCGGCGGCGACTCCTCCCGGCGCACGGCTCGGCCAGCCGGCAGCACGCAGCCGCCCGTCTCTTCCCCGCGGTCCGCCGCCTCCTGGACGCAGCGAGGGACCCGGGGAAGGGGCGGGCGGGCGGCGCGAAGCCTCTGTAACCGCAGCCGCTGAGCGGAGGCAGGAGGTTGACCCGGCCGCTTCCTAAGTGCGGTCAGGCATCTCGTGACCGCGGCGGCCGCCCGGGTCCCTCCCCCGCCGCAGTCGCCGGGGAGGTTTCGGCCGCGCTCAAACCCCAAGATTGGAGTCCAGGCTGGCTGGGGGAGGCGGGGGGGGGGGACGAATTCCCGGCTCGCCACCCTAGGGCGAGCGTTTCCCCGCCCGGAAGAGCTGACCTTGGCCGGGGGTGGGGGGGGATGGGAAGGTTAGCGCGGGGCCCCGATCCCGACCCGCCACCCCCACGGATTCCTGGATTGCCGGGGCCGGAGGAGGGGGCCCCGGACACACACCACACACACACACACACACACCACACGCAGCGCGCGCCAATGAGCCCAGGCCAGGCGCAGGGGGCGGGGTTTTCCCAGGCTCGAGCACAGCAGCTGCTATTTACCTTCTTGGCTTCTCCCGGGGACTAGAGCCGGCCCCCGCTCCCGGCGGCCCGCCGCCGGCCCCCGCCTCCCTGCCCCCGGGGCGCGCGCGCGCACACACACACGCACTCACATACACACTCACACACGCACGCACACACACATCCTCTGGGTCCGGCCGCAGCCGCGGCGGCAATAAAACATCCTGGCACGTGCTCCGACTCCAGGCGCGCCCTCGCCGGCCGGCTGATGTCAAACTGCAGCTCGGCTGGTGGAGCTCTTAAAGGGCTCGCACGCCGGGCGCTGAGGCCGCCCTGTCCGCCCTCAGGGTGAGGAGGGGAGAGGCCGACTCCGACTCCCTGCCCGCCGCCTCTCGGGACTGCCAAACCGAGAGCCTGCGGGGGAGAAAGGTATAGAGTGGCGGAGGAGCGCGCGCGCCCCTGTGGCATTGCTATCAAAGCCCCTCTTGTTCATTTTTCATTTGAAATTCCATTTCCTTTTTTTCCCAGTAGGAAATTATTCTGATTGTTTCCTGGAGAAGCGTGAGGTCCAAGGCCCCATTCCCAGGAGAGGGCTGGGGGCGGGGGGCAGACAGGCATCCAAAAAGCCACCTTGCTCAGAAAAACCTGCCTGTAAAGGCATCTCTCTCTCTCTCTCTCTCTCTCTCTCGGGAGGGGGAGCTTAGGGAACGATTAGTTTTGGGGGTTTGGTATTGCTTTTTTCCCCCTGAGTGAGCAGTTTTCACTGCCCTGAACGTACAGAATAGAGCGGGAATTCACGAAGACGTTCGAGTAACAACACACCCTTGCGCGAGTTCCCTCGTCTTTAAATCACTAAATTCTGTCTTGGCGTATATTTTCTCAAAATGTTTTCAAATGAACTTATTATACAAAGTAGCTATATTGCACGTGGCAAAGACAATGAAATCCAAAGACCTGGCCACAAAAGAAATAGACTAGACCAAACCAAGGCGGAAAAGTCCTCTCTAAAGCAAAGCCCAGAGGAGAGAGTTAGCAAAGGGTTAAAATCCTTTTGATTGACGTTGTAGCCTCCGGTGCCCCGGGCTCAGGCGCGCGCCATTGGCCGCCAGACCTTGTGCCTGGCGGCCAATGGGGGGGCGCAGTCCACGAGCGGTGCCGCGTGTCTCTTCCTCCCATTGGCTGAAAGTTACTGTGGGAAAGAAAGTTTGGGAAGTTTCACACGAGCCGTTCGCGTGCAGTCCCAGATATATATAGAGGCCGCCAGAGCCTGCGGATCACACAGGATCTGGAGCTGGTGCTGATAACAGCGGAGTCCCCCGTCTACCTCTCTCCTTGGTCCTGGAATAGCGCTACCGATCACTAAGTAGCCCTAAGACATAACAATCCCTCAGCTGCTCAGTAGTTTTTCTTATGAAAGTCAAGTGAAAGGGACATAAGCGAAAAAAAATTTCTTTTTTGCGCGAAGAATTCCAAAAATAAAATTCTCTGGGGATTGAGAAGAAAGAAAAAAAGCAAGAAAATGCCAGCTGATATAATGGAGAAAAACTCCTCGTCCCCGGTGGCTGCTACCCCAGCCAGTGTCAACACGACACCGGACAAACCAAAGACCGCCTCTGAGCACAGAAAGGTAAGACAGCACTCCTGTCTCTGTGAAGCCCCTGGAAATTAGGTGCGTTGTGCTCACGCACAGGGGCTCCGTTTCCTTTCCCCTCTTAAAGCCTCGGGGTGAAATGGCAGATCCCGTGGGAACTCAGTCCCCTTTTTATTCTCTTTGCAGTCGTCAAAGCCTATCATGGAGAAGAGGCGAAGAGCAAGAATAAATGAAAGTCTGAGCCAGCTGAAAACACTGATTTTGGATGCACTTAAGAAAGATGTAAGTGAGCAATGCTGTTTATTATTATTATTATTAATGTAATATTTTTTCGGCACAAAGAACCAAACTCTGCCTGCTGTGTGAGGATTTACCCCGCCAGCACTGCGTTCCCTTAGGCTGGAGGGAGGTCCGGGTCTCTCCCGCAGGGTTCTGGGCTGTAGGACGTGCAGGCGGGGTTAGGGACCTTCAGAATTAGAAGGCAGTTGACAAGGGGGGGGGTCTCACTTTCTTCCCTTGTTTCCTCCGCGTAGAGCTCCCGGCATTCCAAGCTGGAGAAGGCAGACATTCTGGAAATGACAGTGAAGCACCTCCGGAACCTGCAGCGGGCGCAGATGACCGGTGAGGACCGCGCGTGCGTCCCCTCTCTGCGGGTGTCCCTCTCGGCCCGCGGTGATTTCTTCCAGACTTCCGCCCGCGGTTGTGAGAGGCATTCAGCTACATTTTACTGCCTTGGCTCACTCCGCGTTCCCACGGTCTGGGTCTTATTTATAGCCACAACTCCCAAGTTGTGGCTCCGGAAAGGGAGGGAGAGGTTGTAGCCGAGAGGGCGGTGGGCGGCTTGGCTGTGGTGGAGCTGTTGAGGGCGAAGGGACGTAGGACTGCGGCGGTTTGGGGCTGCCTAGAAGCTAGGGGTCACTGGCTTAGCACCCGTCCAACCCCTGCCGCAGGAGGGGAAGTGGGACTTGGAAGGCCCCTTGGGTGGCATTGCCCAAGGTCACGTCGTGCGCAGGGCTAGGGGTGGCAGATCTGGAGCTGAGATCGGTTTAAAAGGGAGGGAGTGTCCTGGCTTCTGTCGCCAACCTAGAGAGAAGGAGCTGGCTGTTCTTGGCCTACCCCACCCTCCCAACCCCAGGTGGTTCCGGAGGCGCGCTGCGGGGACCTCCCAGGGCGGGAGGCAGTTGCCCGGGGGCCAGGGCTGTTGGGTGACCCGTCTTTTCTCCTTCTGGCCTTCAGCCGCGCTCAGCACAGACCCGAGCGTGTTGGGGAAGTACCGCGCCGGCTTCAGCGAGTGCATGAACGAGGTGACCCGCTTCCTGTCCACGTGTGAGGGCGTTAACACCGAGGTGCGCACTCGGCTCCTGGGCCACCTGGCCAACTGCATGACCCAGATCAACGCCATGACCTACCCCGGGCAGCCGCACCCCGCCTTGCAGGCGCCGCCGCCGCCCCCATCAGGACCCGGCGGCCCCCAGCACGCGCCGTTCGCGCCGCCGCCACCGCTTGTGCCCATCCCCGGGGGCGCGGCGCCCCCTCCCGGCAGCGCACCCTGCAAGTTGGGCAGCCAGGCTGGAGAGGCTGCCAAGGTTTTTGGCGGCTTCCAGGTGGTGCCGGCTCCTGACGGCCAATTTGCTTTCCTCATCCCCAACGGGGCCTTCGCCCACAGCGGCCCGGTCATCCCGGTCTACACCAGCAACAGCGGGACCTCGGTCGGTCCTAACGCAGTGTCTCCTTCCAGCGGTTCCTCGCTCACTGCGGACTCCATGTGGAGGCCGTGGCGGAACTGAGGGGCTCAGGCCACTGCTCACCCTAAACTCCCTAGCCCACCTCTCTCTTGCGACGGACACTAAAAACGAACTTGGATATTGGGAGAGAAGACTTTTATAATTTGGTGGTTACTTTGTTGCTTTTTTTAATTTCTAAAGAGTTACTTTTTGTAGCGAGCTGTATTAAGTGACTGACCATGCACTGCACTTGTATATATTTTATATGTTCATATTGGATTGCGCCTTTGTATTATAAAAGTTGAGATGACATTTCGTTTTTTACACGAGATTTCTTTTTTATGTGATGCCAAAGATGTTTGAAAATGCTCTTAAAATATCTTCCTTTGGGGAAGTTTATTTGAGAAAGTATAATAAAAGAGTGAAGGCTTTTATGTCTTAGAACTGATTATTTCAAAATTTATAAAAGGAGTGTCTTGAAATTCATATTACATGTAGTCTGGGATCCCAGGAATAGAAACTAAAAAAAAAAAATAATAATGTTTTAAACAGAAACCATCAAAACTTTCACCAACACTCCATGAACTAAAAAGACCTAATTTATGAAAATTCATTTAATGGGGCTTTTCTGATAAACTTGTGGTCATTTCTCTTTAAACGACTGCAAAAAGGAAAAGGAAATTTTTAGAAAGGACTTAAAAACAGTCCTTATTTTGTGTCTTCTGAAAGGTAGCATAAGGGCGACCCCAGCTCACTCCCTGGGATAACCACAAACCTCCCAGTCACTGCTGCCCTGCTCCCTGAGTGCTGGGACCTTCATTAGTCCATTCTTAGGTGCAGCTCCGCTTCCCCTAGCTCCCGCCTCACAACGCTTTAACTGCCTCTCTGCACCCTCTTCAAGCGAGCTGAAAAGGTCAACAGATTCCCTCTGCCGTGGGACAGCGAGTTAGACTCCCAAGTGGAGCCCGGGCCAGATGATTAACAGCAGACATGTGTTTCTGATAAGTTTCTGTGCTTGACTTTAATGGAGAAAGCATGTGGGGGCTGCGCTGGCAGGCACACAAGCCGTTTTCCCCTTTTAATACAAACAGCAAGCGACCCCTTCGCTTGGTCATGCCCCATTTCCAGGCAAGATGTGGGCTCCAGATAGAAGCAAAAGGGCTGTCTCGGGTTTCAGCTCACACAACCCTCCTTAACAAGTCCTAACTCAAAGCGGACAGCTTTAAACTGTGCCAGGATCTGCAGGGAATTTCTTCCAAATCCCATCACAAAGGCTTGTCAGATTTTGTCAGATTTGGCCAGGTGTTTGACTGCATCCAGGTGTTGGGGAAATGAAAACCACGAGCCCTGCGAGACCAGACACATCAGCCGCGCTGTGGGTCTGGCCGACGCGCCCTTCCTCCCCCACCGCCGGCCAGTCCTCCACCCAACCCCCGCCCCGCCCGCCCGCCAGCCCGCCCGCCTCTCACCACCCCCTCCCCCTTTCCCTACAGCGGCTTCTGGGAGAAGGATGAGGCGGGAGAGATCAATCCTTGAAGCTTTCCTAACAAAGATAAAGCCAACGATTTTCTGTCTTGTTTCAAAAGCCTTACCTCTCCCCCGCCTGGCTCCAGCCTTTCCCACAGGCCAGTGTAGAGTGCAGCTCTACCACAGGGGTGATCTAGCAGACAGCAGCCGGTTCTTTCCAATACCTTCAGCTTCGACCCCTGGAGAGAGGGGTTTTAAAGACAGTTTTGAAAATTTGATTTCTAATTGCCTTATTTTGTGTACAAGAAAGATGCCCAGCACACTCCTTATCAAAGAAACACACACATCCTTCTTCGTCATTCCATTTTTTCCCTCGTTTCCCCTTTTGTTTAAACAGAAATATAGTAGAAATCGCTTCATTAAGACACCTATCCCAGACTCAAATACTGTTCCCACCAGGAGTTCTTAGCTTCTTTGATAGAAATAATCCAGACATCAGGATCTCAATTTTATAAAAGTAATTCCTTTACATTGTTCTTTAACATTTACGGGATGGGGGTGGGGTGGAGTAGGGACGGACGACTAGAAAGAAAATTTCAGTTTCTTCTTGCATCTCTAGTAATGTCACCAAAAGTATACACGGCTACATCCGAAGAAGCCAAAAAAGTGAGAGAAAAATAAACTACCATTTGTTCTTTTGAAAAGACCCCCCCCCATAATTTGGGTTTCCATTATTAAATGAAGCCTGTTCAGTATATGGGATGGAACAAAGACTACGTCCCAATTAGGGGCATTTATGTTCTTGAGAGTCACTAAACTCAAGGCATCCCCTTGGATAAGTCATTTCCCTTCTCCAGGATGGGTCCAAGTTCACAAACTGACTAGATTTATTTCTTAGGCATTGCTGCCTCCAGCATCCCTGCTGTCTCTTAAATAAGTAGCTGGCGGGAGAAGTGAAGCACCGCAGTGTATCCTGGCCTCTCTGCAGGTCCTCTGGGCCTGGCCTAATTATATAGCCTCAGGGCACACCCATTTGCCTTGCCCCTCTACCAGCTCCGGTAGAGCTGATCTCTCCGGCGATAAAGCACATTTCCAAACTCTGCCCTTGAGGCCAGGGACATCAGAGGCCATTCCTTGGAGACCCTTGGGGCATGGGCTCTCCCGAGGTCTCCAGCATCACCCGTGGAGAAGTGTGGGCCTGAGGCTGGGTGAGCGACTGAAGCTCGCCCCCTCGTCGGGTCTCATCCCGCCCCTCCCCCATGTGTTTCTGCACTGGGGACCCAGAGGTTTAACTGGACCCCCTCATCGTCACGGGGAACCTGTCATTAAAGTCAATTAACTTTCCGCACACCCTCTGGCCGGTAACAACCCGCTGCTAGCTTCCTCCGGGCTTCTAAGTGCAACCAGATGGGCGGGCGGAGTGCCCCCGCCGCGCGCCCGCTCCGGGTGGCTTCGGGGTTCCTGGGAGGGAGGCCTCGGGGACCGCAGCCGGGCGGGAGCGGCCCAGGGCGGCCACACCGGGACAGGCCCGGCGGCCCTGCGGCCAAGGTGGCTCGCTCAGCAGGCCCGGCTGCTTTCTGGCAGGAAATGAATAGCTCCCAGATGAGCTCAGGCAACCTGAGAGGTCGTGAGAACGGCGCGAACCCCCGCCTGTGCAGCCGGCAGCCTGCCAGGCCGCGGGGAGGGCGGGCGGCGGCGGCGGGAGGCCCGGCGGGCGGCGGCGCGGGCGGCGAGGGGCGGGAGCCGCTGACACACGAGCCCGCGCCCGCTCCCGCTGACAGGCAGGCCGCCGCCCCCGCTTCCCCGCCCCAGGCCAGCGCCGCCCAGGCAGCAGGCCCCAGCCGCAGAGCCGCGGCCGCCCGGGCCGCCGAGGCCTGGGGGTGGGGCGGCCTGCCAGTGTTTTTCCAGTTCCCCCGGTAGCTCCGGGCCGCGTTTAGAAGCCCGGGAAGAGGGCGGGGGCGATGGGTGAGGGGGGCAGGGTCAGGGCACCAGAGGTCGGCAGAGACCTGCCAGGAGTCAGGCCAGCCGGGCAGGAGAGGGCAGGCGGGGGCCACCTCGGACCCTCAAATGCCTTGTACCGGACTGGGATGCTGGGCGCCCTAAGAAGGGGAGTCTTGTTTCTAAGCACCTTGAGTGCCCACTGAGCTCCCCGCAGCCTGAAGCTGGCACTAAGATGACAACCCTGGGGGTGACGCAGCCCTGTTTAGCCACGGAGACAGACCCGCTAGTGACTCATCCCACGCGTGATGTATTAGGTGCCAGGACTGAAGTTTAAACAGAGGGCGCCCAGAGAGACAAATGAGTTCTCCCTGGAGAAGAAACTAAGCAAGTGTTTCCCTTGAAGCAGAGAGGTGAAAAAAAAGCTCAACACAAGGAGAGTCAGTCTCTCGATGTCCCCGAGTGTGACCTGCTGTTGTTATCTGGTGCGGGTTCGACTGGACTTGGAGACCACCGCCGCCTGCCTAGACATCAGGATTTAATTGTCCTAATTCTTTAATAAAACGGTTTAACTTTTAAAAGGGGGGAGGGGACGGAAGGAGGGGAGGGAGAGACAGACAGAGAAGAAAGTCAGAGTTAGGAGCCAGGTGTGGTGACATTCTCCTTACAATCCCTCCAGGTACTTGGGAGGCAGTGGAGAAGGGAGGTTCAAGGCCATTTTCCATTAAGTAGTCTAAGCTAGACTGGGCTACCTGATACCCTGTCTGAAAACACCAAAAACAGAATTAGGATTAGGTTGGTTAAAGAAAACACTGAAACAGTTCTAATGAGGATGTGTAGATAGAGAAATTTCAATTTTACTATCATTTTTGCATTTAAAATTTTAAATGCAAGTTTTGTTAGTGGTCAGAGAGGGGAGGGGTGGCCTTGCTTCCCTGCCTCTGTTCTTGCTTTATGGAAACATAGCCATTGGGTTGAAAGCACAGGATTCTGGGGTCTGGTTGCTTAATTTTTGAGTCCAAGTCAAATCGTTCAATCTGTTTGCTCTCTGGGGGTTTGTTTTGGTTGTTGTTGTCTTGTTTTGTCTTCTGGACTGCTTTACTATTTTAACCCAGCTGGTCTCCAGTTCCTCAGGTCATGCCATCATCCTCCTGCCTCAGCCTCCTCAGTAGATGGGACTATCGGCCTTTACCATGCCACCAGCTCCGTGCCTTTATGGTCCATCTGTAGGTAAAAGTTCATGAGGGCGGGGCATCAGAGGGCGGTGAGGACCAAGTGAGTAAATGCAATTATAGCCTCCAGATTAGTGCTCTGTGAAGAAGCCCAGTGTGTGTCCGCCTTTATGATTCCTCAACAACCACAGCAAGTTAGGAAAGCTGACCATGGCCTTTGCCCAGGCAGTCACGCCCGCCAGACCCTCAGGGAGACCACCGTTTCTTCCACTGTTTCTACATTTCATGCCTTCGTCCAATAGTTATTGAAGTTGAAGAATAAAGGCATGATTTCTGTAGCTATAACACTCACAGCCTGGCCAGCAAGAGACTTGGGTGAAATAGAAATAAATAATTGAACTCATTGCATGTCAAATGATATGAAAGGGGACAGGTTATTTAGTGCTGGTACAAAGAAGACTATATATACACCAAGCAACACTTGGATCTTCTTTGTGTTCTTTAATCTTGGAACCACAGACATTACCATTTTAAACCACAACTAGTCAAAGTTTACCTAAGAAAAATTATTGTCAAATGTTTAACATCAAGATTAATCATTCTGTGGTCTGGGGGGATAGCTCCACCTTAGACTCCTTGCTGAGACCCTGGGTTCAAGGCCCAGAGCCACAGAATCTTAAAAACCTCCTGTCACTTGAAAGAGCGACTTTGAGTGCCTACTCCAAGTGGCTACTACCTAGGAGATGCTGAGAGGGGTCCACTTAAGCTTCTGCGATCAGCTTTCCGCACCAGCGGGTGAGAAGTCTAGCTCGGGGGTCATCTGAAGTCCTTTCGGCTCCATAGTCCCTGCATGGGCT